ATATTTTGATCAAGGAGGTTGAAATTCCACATCTTTTAAATGATTACATCATGAATGTCCAATAAATATATAGAACAACATTATGAACATGGAGAAGCTCACAAGAATTTACTCCATGTGACTAAACATGAATTTTCTTACCACGCTTGAAAACATTCAAGTGATTTCAACACTTTCATCGTAATTTTAGTAACTTGTCATTTTACCTTTGAGGCTAGAAAGTTGCTTGTACCGGGTAAACTAAAGTTGAAAATAAGAAAATGGTAAGACATCGCAAATGAGTCAATTCCTAACCATCTTTCGGTAGCTGACTTGGAGTTTATATCAAATATAGTCAAGAGTTGTCCATTTGATCAATTATCAAACCACAAAATGCTCGTGATATAGATCTTAATCCTTCAATGCATAAAACTCCATGGATATGATACCAGATATAGCAGACAGAGGATTTTGCAGGTTCAAAATCTTCACGGCCAAAGATAATAAAGATGTGTCATGATGGAAGACCTTAAACGACCTCGAACCCCAAACAAAAGAAGTTCTTATCTTTCTAAGAAAGGGATAAACTCCAAGGTTTATTTCCCAAGCGAAATGGATAACTTACACTTATCAGAGCTCTCTTATAACAAACGTTGTTCTTATTCTAGTTTGAATAGAAGACTTCTCAATTAACCACGTCTCAAGTTTTGGCCGGACCAAATAAAGCATTTGCCAGACCAACTGTACTCCACTCTTAGCTCGAACAATAATGTTCACCCCCAATTCAGCAACATATCAATTATTGGAGGTCTCTCGTCGTATAAAGATTCTATATTAGAGCAGAAGCAACCCAATTTGAAGACCCACACTTTCTCCTGAGCCACTCACTTTAGGACTCCATTGTAATTCGTTCGACTCAGAGAGTGGACTTTCTTCATGACTAACACCGATCGTGAAATGAAGCTTTTCAAATAGTAAAAGGCTGGAAACATTTAGGGAGGTAACAGTTAAACATAAAAGGCCGAAATTAGGTGCCTCGAGTTCAGCGCTGATAATATGAGACTCAATCAACATCTCGTGGTTCTGACATAAGAACTAGAAGAAGACGGCGAATATGAACGTGTCTTACATTGGCGTCAACATAAAAGTTCTTTATGGTGGGTACAAATTCTCCGTACATTACTGATCATTTACCTGGTCACAATTTGAATCGGGCTCAAATTGTGGCCACATTCATCGTTTCAATCTGCATATAAATACAGTATTGATGCACTGTTATATTATGGGCGCTGTCAACAGTAGGGAAGAGCTTGTCGCCAGTTGATGGTGTGTCTCTCCATCTGTTCTATGGACAGCGACGAAAACCGTCTGTATTGGTGTAGCCCAGATGTGACATGAGCCTAAGCCTGCTGCAGCAGCTTAATTAGCTTTGAGTACATTCATTCATGGTACGATAGTTTTGACACATTGCTTAGATCTCTTATCGTCGAACAGTTTCGACAATGCTGACATCTTCGAACTGTGTTCCGATTGCAGGCATCGAAGGATTGAAGTGGTGGTCTCATCGCAGATTTGCCTGCTGAATCAGTGTAAATTGTGGAAATCCTGGTGGGGTTGATGGTGGAATGAATTCAACACAGTTGGATCCAGAACGGGTGCTGTGCGGTATCTGATCGGGACGATGGAATCTTACAAGCAATTAGTCCGAAGTGTATCGAACTGATTGTGCTCGAAGCTTGTTCTAATCAACATTCGAATCTCATTCGAATTCAAAACCCAGCGGAGGCGGAGCAATGAGCAAGTCCAAGTTGCTCGACAGCTGCAACGAGGGGAGACGAACTGACTAAATGCACATGGTTTGCTCCTTTCCAAGTCGAGATATGCTCAAATCCATGTATCATGATTGCAAGTGCATGGGTTGATCGGGTTATTTATTCAGCTTGGACATGAATTTAGCTTTCTCTGCACTTCTGTAGTTGAACGTCTGATAACGTATCAAAGATCACCCATTTGCTCTTCGTTGAAGTTATGACATTGATTCTGATTGTTGATTTCATTTGAGGACTGACGAAGGTTTGTTGGAAGAGACTATTTTCAACCTACGAATTCTGTACTCTGGTTCTAACAGTGGTGACTTTAGAGTCTGGTGGGTATTCGGAATCGATGTGTTCAATTTTTAGTTTGCATGTTATTGATGTTTCTTCATATCAAAACAATTCGATGGTTTCAGATACAAAAACTGGTGATAAGAATTGTTATATTTTCGCTGGACTGTAAGAAAAGCTAGCAAAATCTTCTTGAAATAGAGTGAACAATTCTTGGCACTTTCATAATTCAACGCAAATATTTGTTTGGTCACTGAAAGTATGCCTGAACCGTTGAGACCTGATCTGAAGGAGATAAATTCTGCACAAGCGTGGACAACGGAGACCAAGAAGTGGTTGAGGAAAACTCAATTTATCTGGAAACGAAAGAAATGGTTGAGACTTCCACTCTCGGCCACTCTTTGTCTCTCTTGTTCACTCTTGTTCAACCTTGTCCTTGATAAGGAGATCGGAACACAGAAGAGCCAAACGAGTTTGAGCCCGACAGAGGCAGCTCATTGCACGGTTAGACGCTGGAAAAACACGATGATTACAGGTTAGATGCGATTCAACTTTAAGCAGTTCATGATATACGAGCAACTAAAACAACAACATTATCCTCTCAGCGCTTGAAGCCTAGACCACTAAACTTCTGTTCTACAATCTGAAAATGGTAACGTGGACAGAAGGCAAAGCCAAATTCACTTGAATAGTAGAAGAGAATTATTTTTGAACTCATGATTATGTGAAGGTCTAGGAAGTCAACGGTTGATATTATACAATCCCAAATACTCTACAACTTCTCGAGGAATGCGGAGCGACTGATGTACGGATTGCGAGTGGGCAAACCTGGCACGTTTCTGATTCAGATTATACTGTTTATGCTCAGTTTGACTTACAAGAGCTGAAATTGTATCGAAACTAAGAACCTGTATTTGGATTTTGAGGAGATTCTTTCAAATTTAAGGTAGAAGTTATCTGCACAATAATAAATTCAATGGTGACGTTCTATACATCCACACTGACTCATGAAGATCTAGAAAAAATGAATGCATGGTTCAATCCAGTCAGGTGACCATCTACCAACCTGATATGAAAGTTTTGTTCCTTCGCAAAGCTTTACATCATATTCTACATTTCTTTTCGTTCCCTTCTTTCGCTGACAGGACCCTGGAAGAGCAGCATAGCTTCTCGGAAGATGTTGAACTTCAGAACTCCAATGGACTCTTTGACCTCAAGCTTCGAATCAAAGTATTTAGCTTCATATTCTCTAGCCCCCATATGCCTATTAGAATTCCGCTCCTGAACGAAACGAAAAGCCAAGACCAGAGAATTTTTCTTCCAACTGCTATTACAATATTAATGCGTGTACCTACTCGTACCTTTTCTTGCTTTGAAGCATATCCCTCCAGTACTCTTTCACAGAAAGTTCTTCGCCGAAAGTTGAAGAAAAAGTGTTTTGTGGCCTGAAATTTCCTGTTGATTCCAGGAGATCCTACCTACTGCACACTTGCTTGATTTCGAAAAATGTTCGAGGCTTGTAACTGGTCCTGGCTGCTGCTGGTTTTATGTGTCGAAATCTGTTCACTGTCACTCCAACTAATTCAAATTGAGGATCAGATCCCTGGGTTTCGGTTTCTGACCACGTTTCTGACCGGGTTTCTCGTGAATCCTATGTGTCAATTCCTCGAAAGAAGACGATGGCTAATGGGCACAAAACTAAGTCAGATCAACTGAAGATGACAGCATCCTATGACGTAGTAAAATTAATCGTAGAGCTTGTCTGCCTTCAACTACATATAGTGAAATTGTGTTCCAATTATACGCTTGCAGCTTATCAAAAGGGGACATAGAGATTGGAAGAAGAGAAGAATCCACGCAATTTCAGATCGTGTGTCTTTCTTGCACCCATAAGTGCAGAAGTTTGAGCTTGGTACGGGGTTTCGACACTGCCTCCAGCTTCCCAAATTCAATCAAGCAGGATATTCGCATTTATAAATTTCAGTAAATTAATTAAGAAAAATACTCAAGCATTATATTGCACGTCCTTTTTGTGGTAGAACGAAGGGTATCCTGCATTGCACAAGGTTCCAAAGTTCCAGCATAGTTGGATTCCTTCTGAGCAGGGACAATCTCTTCTGAAAACTGTTTCTCGCATGCAGAATCTTATCTGTTGAACAAACGCTACTGGACCTTTCGGCATTTCGTCAAAAATGGTTAGGCATCATCAGAAACTGGACACAAGATCAGTCATGGGTATATACTCTCTGTACTAGTCCTGCCGAGACTAGTAGTTGTCGTCATCACTACTCAAAGTCATATTTCAGAAGTGACACAAGTTTTCGATTGCCTGCAACGAATTATCAGCCATAATCCACGGAGATACAAATCCACAGCTTTGGCAAAGACGAGAAAATGCATAGATGTGGAAAATGGTCGAACGTTGGACTGTACGCTGGACTCGTGCAGCACTTTGTGCGCTGCACGCCGAGATATATGGATTCGTAGCTAATTCTAGAAGGGCATGATATAAAGAACGATAGAGGGGCTCAGAAGTACTGGTGGATCAGATGATTAACAAAGCTAAAGATTTCACCGTGCAAAACATGGAAACTCCGGACATGACTTTCATCGTAAGGGTTGTACAACTAGGCCGAACAACTACCATGCTTTACTTGGAATTTTCCCCCAAAAGTTTTTACCGAGACCAATGTCATGCTCGTGTTTGAGCAGTATGGCAGGTAAGACGTGCTCAGTCATCAATAATGTCGTCAATCATGAAGGAACAGTTACTGCATTTGACATACTTTGGACGATTTAGCATCCCATGTGCTCCACATCATGATCATTATCTGTTTGTATTCACAAGTTGATCATCATACAGCGTGTTTGTAACAGTGAGCGTGGAGAGAGACCGAGAAGTAAATAAGGACAAATGTCAATGCACAAAGAAGTGTGCGTGTGAAGTTTATGTACATATAGGAATTACAAAATCACAACTCTGGCATCTGCGATTCAGACCAGAAGTTCAACGCCGCCTTGAGTCTTCTCGATCCAGTGGAGGATGCTGGCACAAGCTGAAGGCTTTGTGAATATTGTGTTTCGGGCTGCATAAGTGTTGAGAGGTTTTAGTTTGTGGCACATCCTTGCCTTGCTTTCCAAAGACCGAGATACCGCCGCTCCATTGGACGTGGTGTGGTACTCTCGCTCCATAATATCCACTACATTCTCGGGGATCGATCCGTCGACCCAGTGGAATATATCTTCGCCTCGGAACCATGCCAGTTGTCGCTCAGCATAATTTCTCGATGCTCTTTGGAACTCTTGGACAAAATTCAAGAATTGGGGAACGGAGGTCACACCTCTTGATTTCCTGCATGCAAGCAGGAACTCCATGGCTTGGCTGTACCCGATAGCTTTAGAAGGTGAGCTGGAGTTGGGCAAAATTCCTAATTCCAGGAGCCACATGGCTTCCTTCATTAATCCTTGCCCGTAGAGGTCCGTGAGCATTTCCTCGCATCGTTGATCGATGCGTCGGTACAGGTCCATGCGCTCTCTATACAGAAAGTAGCACTGGAAGTCGTAGTCGAGCTGAGGAGCATTGGAGCACCCGGTGGCACTGAACAAGGGCGACGGAAGCGAGGTCTGCGGCCGGTAGGTGATCTCAATGACTTCCAGAGCTCGCCGAAGGTTGTTCCAGTCGCCTCGTGCCAGTCTGCGTGCAGTGTCAGGATCCCCGGCTCGAGACAGATACTTCACCGCGTCGTCCCACCCGGCTCTGGCATTCTGAAGGAGAGTGACCACGGCATCGACAGCTGCGGCTTGCTCCTCAGTGGGCTTGGGGCTGCCGAGCTTGCCATTCAGAAACCAGCGGATGTAAAGTCCACTGCCGCCGACCACAATTGGGACCCGGCCCTTGGCGAGCACCATGTCTGTAGCCGCCTTGGCATCTACGTAGAAATCCTGCGCACTGTATTCCTCGGTCGGGTGGACGATGTCCAGAAGGTGATGAGGCACATTCTGGCGCTCCCTCCAGGGAATTTTGGCGCTGCCGACATCGAGGCCTTTATAAATCTGCACTGAATCCGCGCTGATGATCTCGCCATTCAAGCGCTGAGCCAGAGAAATGGCGGCCGAGCTCTTACCCACTGCAGTAGGCCCCGTGATGACAATCACCCGCCCCTTGGACGAATTCGAATTCTCCGCCGCCGTGGCTCTGATCGTCGGCCTCATTGCACAATGCGCGTGCCCGCCCAGCATCATCGCTGCTCGCTCTCTCAGGCTCGCTCTCTTTCGTCTGTCTGCGGGGCTGATTTGCGCGTCCGCTGCAGGTTGACTGGCTGGCCTGCTGGCTGGCCTGCTGGCTGCCTGGCTTGCTGGCTCACTCTCACGACACAATGAGACCAAAGGGAACAATCTACGCTTTTTGTTTGCTGTTCGTATATTCTCACTCAGACCCCCCTCGCTCTTAGACTGGATCACAAAGTTTGCAGAGTATTTTGCAGGCAAGCTCCAGAGTTGTCTGTTGTGCTCATGTGGACGAGAAGCAGCATTCTTATATAGTGCTCAGAGACAAATTTAAAGCGGATACGTCACCAGTTAGCCAGAGCTCCTTTTCCACACCCGGCGCCTGGGAGTTCTAGGCCAGGCTCCGGACCCACTTAGTGTGCCATCCGGAGAAGAGTCGGGGGCGGGCGGGCAAGAGCAAATCTGGCCGCTGCGACTACGGGCGGCTCGGCCACCCCGCCCAGCGCGATCGCTCGCTCACTCTCTCTCTCGCTCGCTGTCTGCTGTCTGCTGGCCACTTCCCCCGTTCGGTTAAAGGTTCCAGGTTTCCCTGCGCATCAAGTCAACACTCTTTAATGCATGCAGTTGTCGATCGGTTAGTATTACCTCGTTCCATTATAGGCAGGCATCAGTCAGATCTAGAGCCAGACATCACATGCACGTACGAGTAATGCAGCTCCAACATCACATGGCGTCGAACTTGCATTTTCGGTTCCGCCGTTGTTGCTGCTGGCTGTGTCCAAAAAGGACAAGCTCTAGGACAATCTTTACTGCGCTGCGCTAGGACCAATCCAGCGGCCACGCTGCTGTGGGATCTTCCTTCTTCTTCGCCACCCCCTACCCCCCACCCCCCCTCCTCCCCCGCCCCCCTCGTTGCTACCCGATCGCCCGCCCGCCCGCCCGCCCGCTGGAATCGACCCAAACCCGCTCGCGAATTGCACTCCCCACTGCCTCCAGCTGCTGCTAAAATATCCATCCATATGCTTACATGTGTAGGATTTGACTCGCCCACAGGGCTCGAAGCCGCAGGATTTCGTGGATAATTCGACCCTCGCGAATATCTCTATACCCACTCCCAATATCCCTCATGTGTTAGCTGATCTCTGCCTCAGTTATCCGAGCCGCCTCATCTTTTGACGAGACCGATCATGCACCCACGTTCCGAAGCAGCCCGGCAATTCGCCTCCCGTAGGTCCGATTAGTCCAAGGCCTACGAGCAGACACCGATATTTTAACTTCCGGATCGGTCGATGATACGCCTTTTCGATCGGTAATGTTGCCCAAATTGGCTCGAATTCGAGGAATCCTCGGGCGGTCGAGAGGAAAGGGAGAATCGCCGCTCCCAAAGGGGGGAACATTTGCTCCCGAAAAGAGCACGGTTTCGGATATTAACACGCACGGATATTCACGTGGCTCGGTGATTCGCGTCCATCGAATTCGAGGAATGTGGAAAGTCCGATCGCCAGCCAATCCTCATTCCCTCCGACCTCGGCCTGACGTTCGACATGTCCACGGCAATTTGACGTGCTTTCGTAATTCGCACTGCGAAGGATGATGCAATTCTGGGCGCAACGTGGTCTGGTTTCTGCGAGTCTGGTCTTCCCACAGGCGCTCAGCTTCCTTTACTTGGAAGGCTTTACCAGCCGACCACTTTCATTTCTGTAGCAACAACTTATTGCACAAAGGCGCCATCACCCACCGCCACTTTCTGAACTTTGTCTCCTGGGTTTTGTAAAAGGATGAGCTCATTTGGACAGAATTTATGTTCAACGGCATCCTTTTCAAGCTTTCTAGTATCAAAGCTTTCTGTTGTCTGTCCTGTCGATTCCAATGCAGCCTGATGAGATCAAATTCTCGGAAATCCCCGATTGACTTGATATTTTCAGGCCATTCTCGGGCCTCGCAGTCAGAGCCCAAGTTGGCCTCATTACGGATAATGCAGTCTCGTATTATGGAGACTGATTTAGCTCGGGCCTCGAAACACGTGGTTTGTCTGCTGAAGGATTAGACACCTACGCCTCCAAGCGGTTGACGGAGATATTGAAGAGAACCTGTGACAGTCACATGGAAAGAGAGCGCGTGTTCGGTGATCGTAGGTTCGAAGAGTCACATGACACTGACCGTCTCAGAAGGGAAAATTTGGATCAGATGACTGACAATTCATGCCTTCCAGATGAAAACGAAGAGTAGTTGTTGGCCGGACGTGATCGCTGGATTGATTGTGATCGCCGGTTATTATCTGGCTTTCGGATGTATGATTGCCATTGTGGCAGTCGAATTGGAATGTAATTCTTCGGCCGTGCTCCAGAGGCTGCATCAGTCTCGACAGCTTCTGATAGCTTCTGATAGCTGCCGTCGAGCTGAGCGAGTCAGGCAGTGAGTGATTCGTGTTGCGACGACATTTCACCTGATTGCTCACCGAATTGGACGCACTGTCGGGCATGCTTGCCTTCATGCACAGGTGACAGTCATGAACGTGCAGATTTGAAGCATGATTGAGAATTCTGTTCGCCTCTGAACAGCAGATGCCGGAAGTTTATATCAGATTCCGAATCACCGATGACGATTCCGAGACGGGGCGCATAGAAATCGTCGATTTCTGCGAGAAACTCCTTGCCATTAGCCGGACAAAATCTGTAGGAGTAACCATTAGCCGAGGAGAACCAAGATTCCGATCAGAATTGTGCATCGGATTTTGAAATTTGTATGATGCAGAAGACAAATTGATGCTTTGATTCTGTGAGGTACACAAGGTATAAAACATCGACAACTCCAAAGTATTCCCGCCTTATATTCTGATGAATACTTTTAAAAAGGTGTCTTTTGAGGAGACAGATCGGATGTCAGGGTATTTCTACCGCGACAGTCAGACATAAGGCCAAATCATTATTAGGGTAAGAATATTTATAATGCTGTACATACGCTGAGTATATACATCTAAAGCGGTCGACAATCTTGTGATGATAAATCATGACCTCGTCTTTGACCAACATAGATTTCGATAATAACTTATAATAATAGACGTGAAAGATGATCTAGTTCAAGTTATCCAACCAGTTGGGACCTCTTACAAGCATTAACATTACCTTCACAGTGGTTGTGGAGTTGACTGATTTGAGCTGAATATCGTGGCCATGCTCAAATCCTCCACGTAGTTCTTAAGTTGTGGTCGTATGCAATCTTCCACCATTTGCTAGATACGTCCACAGCAGCCGTGCCACTCGTGCTTCGAGGTCGTGCGGTTTGAACAACCAATGCTACTTGGCCAACACCCACCAGCCCTGTTCCGAACTTTATTGACTATTCAGTGAACCCTTAACACTTGCATGTGTTGTCACGACATCCTGTTAAAGAAGCAACATCAATATGAGCAAATCTAAACCCACCCTTGCGGTGATGGCCAATTTACGGAGCACATTATTGGACTCCAAATCTGAAGCAAGTCTCGAACATAAATGAGCAAGATGTTTGGAGTCATGTCGTTGAGGTGAATCAGATGAGCACAAGCGCGAGCACACTCCCAGAAGTGTTCTTCCAGCGAAACATCGCACTCCTTAACTGCGTATGCATGCAACACGAAGCTCCTTGATGAGGTTCGATCTAGCCGAGATAACCAGGCCCATTATCCTAGTACTGTAGACATAAAATATGAAATCCTCCCCATAAGAAAATGGAAGTCAAAGAGTATGTTAGAAACCTTTTAGGGTTTAATGAAATATCGTCATCACGTCAAGTTGCAACTGATTACACTGTAGTACGAGGAATCTTTGAAGTACAGGACAGCCGAAGTCTTCCACACTAATGAAACCTGCGACATACACAGTGGCGGCTCGTAATCCAATCAGATTATCCGACGTCCTGTACACTGGGACTAGTTTCTTGTTGTATCACTCGATACAAGCTCGATTTCAGGCAAATAGTCCAATTACGTTGTATTTAAATTTGGTATGCTATGGTGGATTACAGAATGATGACGACCCTCAGAATTTTGAGCTACATCCAACAGTGAGATGTTTGAGGGCCATGTCGAGCATCTCTTGGTTCATGTTGGGACTGTTGCTCGATCCAGTCAGTAGTGATGATATCATTCACGGTCTTCTGTTCGAGTGAAGTTTTGTTTGTGAGAATCTAATCTGGTTCGCGAAACAGACTTGCATACGATTCCTCGTATGGTCGAATACATTGGGAAATATGGGACTCGGCAACCTCAGCCATATAACCTCAGTCATAAAATAAATAAATCATTCCTGCAGCCATATGGAATCCGCTAACAGTTAAGCAATTTCGGCATTTTGGATGGTAATTGGCCGCATTTTTGGAAGTGTCTAAAGTTGAGAACTGTTTGCTTTTCATTCATGACGTAAAGGTAAGTTGGGATTCCTTATTTGCAGGAGTTGAGCGTGGATTAAACTCGGGGTTACATGTGTGTGAAGTGGTTCTGAATGTTGTAGTCATCTGATATCTGATTCTTTAGAGTCAATGCCGTGATTTCCATGGCTTTGCGCTGAAGTGTCTGTGATATTCCTACTTTTAGAATACTGTAGCGGTCCTGTATTTTCCACTTTTGGCTTCTTCTATCTTCCAACGGAACCTACTGAGAAATATCAACAACCTGTTGCGCGTGGCAAAGAATTTGAACTATGTAGAAGATTTCATTCCGAACGAGTTTATTATGCAAGGCTCTACACGGAATCCTCGTAACCCTTTTCCCTGAAAGCAATGTTCGTAAGATGCTCTAACATTTATGTCAGAACCAATAGAACTATAGAATTAAGGTTCTGAGTGATCCATATGGATCCCACGGAATCTTTTGTTTTCTGTAGAAAATGCTCGATTTATTAATAAACGCGGTTTTACCAAGAAAATTGTGTGCGTTTCTTCTAGTACTGTAACCGAGAATTATTTTGATATACGGTCAAAGTAAACCGGAAAAAATCAAACCATTTCGACAAACTGCACTTTTAAAGAGTAAATTGCAAGTTGGTTTTAAAATCTCCACAGATTTTTCCATTACATACTAGAATACTATGAATAATCTGACAACTCCTTTCTAGGAGAGAGAAAAAATCATTTAGATTCTGTGTTCTTACATTCACATATATATTACAACTAGTTTACAATCAGTTTTTAATAAATCAAGACATCTCCTCCAAGGCAATACGCATTAACTGCCGAAAAATACTAAGAACCCAAAAGCCTGTCGACTTTGCTTTATTTAATTTGGCATTAATCTGGATCTCTGGGATAGTT